AGAGTTCTGACTCTGCTCCCAATTTCAGCTCCCTGCTAATGTGCACCCTGGGAGGCAGCAGGTGATGGCCCAACTGTTTGGGTCCTGTCACCATGTAGGAGCCCTGGATGGGCTTTGTGGCTCCCAGGAACCTGGGAACCACTGGTGAGGGTAGAGCAGGTACGGAGAGCCTTCAAAGCCCCATTCTGAGACAATGGCCATTATTCGACCAGCCTGCTGGTCCCCTGGAAGACTGCACCCAAAGGCTCTTCTTATGGTTGGCCTGAGTCATTGCTCACCTAGCCCAGCCTTTCCTGACCAGTGTGGTGAGGAGTGTCAGAAGGAAACACAGGCAGCTATCTACCATCATGGCCACCGGTGGCAGTAAATAGCAACTGGGACAAAGGCCTAGCCCTGAAGTTGAGAAAGACAGAAAGTCTAGGAAATGCGATGGCTATAGAGGGCTCTGCAAAGCTCAGACATAATCCCGGGAATCTAGAAAGACAGGAACCCCCACAGGCCTGGGGCCCTGCTCAGCAAAGTCCTGGGAAGGCCCAAAGCTCCCGGCTCTGCCTACACTTGAAGCTCTGCCCGAGGCGGAAGTGATGGCTACGGCAGTGTTATCAACTGGCTGGCTGACTGGGGGCGTTGTGCTCCAACACACACAAAGGCTGGGAAACATACTGGCTTAAGAATCTGAAGAAGTATCAGCCGGATCTTTACAGGACCATTAAGTTAATGAAGCAGACACTGCATTGGGCATGCACAACAAAGAATGCACACTTTACAAGATTCATTCACAAATGCATGAAACAGCTCCAATAACAACAGATCCTATACAGGGGAAGATTCTGATTTCCAGAACTGCCACGCTATGATATGGGAAATGTCCAGTGTCCAAGAAAACACAGAGACAGGCAAACAGACAAAATAGTACGGAAAAGTCACTGCAGCATGTTATAAAACAGTGTATTCTATTTTTAAGAACTCTTTTCTGTTCCGGTGATTTGAAAAACCACTACATACAGCCGTAAGTCTAAAACTGTTGATGGACTGATATGGTGGAAACATGTAATGTGCATGTGGTTTAAAAATACCACAAGCTTAGGGAGGGAAGTACGGGGGCCATATAGGAGCAAACTTAATATGCTATTGGAAAGCCAAGACACTCTGGCAAAAAAAAAAAAAGGACCTAAATGAAAGATCTCTGTGAGTGAGATCCCAGTAGAAAGAACGGGCCATCAAAGAACGAGGTACCTTTCTCTGAAGGGAGGATAGAACTTCCATTTTGACTATGACCTTGTCTAAATAAGATCAAAGTCGGCGAACTCAAAAGGCTTCCATAGCCTTGGCAACTCATGGCTAGAGCCTAGGTAGATTACTGACGCCTTAAACAAGAGTGTCAAATTGTTAAGTCAACAACAAGAGTCACTGTGTACTTACTTCTCATGTGCGATCTGTCCTTAGTGTGTTGTCCAATGTGAATTAATGCTATAACTACTACTGAAACGGTATTTTACACTTTGTGTTTCTGTGTGGGTGCAAACTGTTGAAATCTTTACTTAATATATACTAAATCGATCTTCTGTATATAAAGAGAGTTGAAAATGAATCTTGATGTGAATGGAATGGGAGAGGGCGCGGGAGATGGGAGGGGTGCGGGTGGGAGGGAAGTTATGGGGGGGGGAAGCCATTGTAATCCATAAACTGTACTTTGGAAATTTATATTTACTAAATAAAAGTTTTAAAAAACTTTATATGTTATTTTAAAATTAAATTGGCATAAATCTGTAATAGATTGTTAGAAGAGGACATCTGTTATCCCCAGGGCAACTTCTAAGAAAGTAACTTTAAAAATTGGTAAAAGAAAGAATTAAAATGGTCTAGAAATATCAATGTAACACCAAAGAAGATAGTGATGTAGGAACAGAGGAACAAAAGAAATGGATGATGGGGTTGTGTTATGGCGCAGTGCAGTTAAGCTGCCACTGGAAACTCCGGCGTCCCATACTGATATGGGACTGATATGGACTGGTCCTTGTCCCAGCCGCTCTGCTTCTGATCCAACGCCCTGATAATGCACCTGGGAAGGCAGCAGGTGATTGCCCAACCACCTGGGCTCCTGCCACCCAATTGGAAGACCCTGATGGAGTTCCCAGCTCCTGGCTTCAGCCTGGCCCAGCCCTGGCTGTTATGACCACTTGCGGAGTGAACCAGCAGATGGGAGAGATCTGTCTGTCTCCCTCTCTCTCCTTCTCTCTCCCTCTCCCCCAGCTCAAATAAGTAAAATACTTCAATTTTCAATAAAAATACAGTACCTTTTCTTCAAACAGGAAAACATGCAGTTAAAGACATTAAAGCAGAACAGGTTTCCTTTTAAATGGTTTTCCCACCTTCTAAAACAAATAGCAGTAATAGTGAATAAGGAACAACACGGACACTCGAGTTGCAAAAAATACTATTTTGACGGCTGTTTCCATGTCTTGGCTGTTGTGAACAAGGCTGAGACAAATGTGGGGCTGCTGTATCTTTCCAAGGTGGCAACTTCTTTTCCTTTGGTAGAGTGATTGCTTCCTTATATAGCAATTCTAAGGTTAATTTCTTTAGAGCTCTCCATACCAATTTCCACAATGACCGCACCAATCCCCATTCCCACCAACAGTGTATAGGAGTTCCCTTTTCTCCACACCCTTGCCAGCATTTGTTAAAAAAAAAACACTCTAAATGGATGCACGTTGTTCTATGTGAGTTATTCCTCAATAAAACTGATCAAACTGTTGCCTCCTGCAAGACCTTGGAAGGCAGACGTGCTGTCCAGTACTGAAGTGCCCTGTTGGAAATGACCACAGTGCTGGGGAAGCGCTAGCAGTTTCTTGTCACTTTGGGAAAGAGGACCACAGGCTTGAGCTAGCAGTCCACAGGCAGATCTGCCGAATGAGAGCAATGCCTTATCATTTGGGCCTTTTCAGGTTGAGAAAGCCAATCACTTCTGAAGCTGCAATTCCAGCAACTTTTTTAAATTTTATTTTCCGTTTTCTTTTTGAATGGCAGAGTGACAGCGAGAGGAAGGGAGGGAGGGAGGGTGAGCGAGAGGGAGAGCAAGAACGAGAGAGAGAGAGAGAGAGAGAGAGAGAGAGACACTCTCCAAACGCCCACAACATCCAGGGCTTGGCGAGGACAAAGCCAAGAGCCCAGGAACTCCATCTGGGCCTTTCACCTGGGTGGTGGGAGCCAAGTACTTGAGCCATCATCTGTTGCCTTCTAAGGGTGTGCACCAGCTGGAAGCTAAGCTGAGCTGGGACTTGAACCAGGCTCCCCGATCTAGGATGCAAGTGACCCAAGCTGTACCCCAATCACCGTGCCAAACTCTTGCTCCAATGTCCGTAATTTGTAAAGGCAGTTTGGAATCAGCCTCCTGAGAAAGATACTGACTACAGTGGCCGAGCAAACAGCTTCAGAGTGTTGTTTTCCCATTTAAGCTCACTGCTTGAGAAAGCCTCCAGATGGGTGCCATTCATTGTCAGAGAGGGGCCCAGGCCAGCAAAGACAAGAGAAAGCAAAAAGATGAGAGATTTCAAGCTTAAAACCAAGTGTAAAGATGAGCGACTTCAAGACTAAAAACGGACCGGAAGCCAAACAATCTGCAGAGCCACATAAACTGCAAGCTAAGTCTGCCAAAGCCAACAAGCGTTCCAACACACCCCCACAGGGGCCCCTAAACTGGCACCAGTAAGTAGCATGCTGCTGCCCACACCACGCAGCCTCTCTACTGCTGACTTCAGGCGTGGTGTATGGCAGGGGGCGGATGGATAAGGACAGAGTCCCAGATGGCAAAGCCAGTGGCTACAGAGCACGCTGTGAGGATGAGTCTTTCCCAGAGGACAGGTCCAGGGGCCCCCTGCCGCCCCACTGCTGGGGCTGCTGCTCAGAGGGAATCAGTCTGCTGCTGTGGACCAGAGACTGCAGTGTATTTCCCATTCCTCCCTCTGATCACCTTCAGATTGCACTGGAGAAGCTAGCCTCTGCTTGTCCCTTCTAGATACACAACTCTTTCAGGTTTTAACCGTGCCTTCACCATCCCACTAGAGACGTAACCGCAGCCTTGTCATTGCATGCCATCAGGTGCGCCCAGGGCCAGCGTCCTGGGCATGTGACCTCTGCATGGGTCCCTGATCTCAGAAGGCCCCCACACTCTGTCCGGCGCTCTGCTGTCACCACTTGAAATTCCTGTTCACTTTGTATTTGAACTCGTGTTATGTCAGTGAAGTCCAACGGAGCAATGTGCAGGCAGGCCGACGGGGCAGGAGGCAGCATGTGTGCTGGGCATGGGGCAGACACAGCGGGCTGGGAGGACCTCGGCAGATATCTAGTATGGTGGCAATCACAGCTGGGGCACAGAGGAAAGAAACCCCTGACTCTGCGACCATACATTTCTGCCTCTGGAAAACTTCCCTCATGTCGGCCTGCAGTCACCAAGAGATTCATGTCTCCCGTTCGATCCACAAACCGCTGTGCTGTGACTCCTGCCTCCCCTCTTCTACGGAAACTGAGGGAGGAAGGAGAAGCGGCAAGTGAGGGTGAAACAGGAAATGAGGACCACACACAGGTTCTGGCTGAGCTGTCCACACACATGGAAAAGAGTCCCCGTCCCCAAGTGATACCAGTGGAAGCTGAGTCCAGGAGAAGCAGACCTGGGGTAGAGGAAAGACAAGCTCAAGTGTCCTGTATAATCACTGTTGGGGAAAGACAGACTACCTTCAAGCCAGGGGAGATGGAGGAGGACCAGGGCAAAGAACCCTTGTAGAGTTCAGGAAGGGGGCAGAGTGTTACTGCTAATGGTGTGTGTGTGTGTGTGTGTGTGTGTTGCAGGGTAAGCCCTGGGGGATGGGAGCTCTGAGAAAGAGAAGACATGAAAAGAACAACATAGTGCAAATAAAGGCAGGGTGATGGGTCCCTAGACCTTGGTCACCGTGGCCAGCTGAATGCAGGGCTCCCTGACAGAGAAGAGGCAGACCACAAACTCTGAGAAGTACTTTAATGAGAAGTGGCAATGAACTGGGGGACAAAAGCCAAACTGAACCTTGGGAAAGACAGGAAACCCTGGCAGAGCAGCACAGCAGAGCCTACCAATGAAACACAAGTAGAAGGGGGTACTGGTGTGGTGTAGACCCTGGCTCAAAAGGTACCAGCAGCTTCTGCAGACGGGGAGACTGTATGCAACCAACCAAGGAAAGCAGAGTCAGGCAGTAGCCGCCAGTGGGTGGCAGCCCTCAGGCCTCCCAGACGGCTCTGACCATGAAAGGGCGTGGGATGGGGCCCACTCACCTCAATGCATCTGAGACTTGTCATCAAGGCACTCTTTGGCCGCTGCAACAGACAGAGGCACAACTAGACTCTCCAGGTGCAGGGAGGTGGGAACCCTTCCCTCACCCTGTGGGACAGGACTGACTCAGCCACCCCAATACCCCGTTCAAACCTGGCAGTCCCCAGCCCTGAGAATGACCCACTCACTCAAGTTAAAGAGAGACAAGTTTTCCAAATTGGAACATAGTGCTCGAGTAGTTCTGAGACTCTGGTGAGGAACAGAATCATCCAGAATCTGATAAAACATGTACACTGCCTGTCAAGCAGCAGTTAAAGAGAAAATACATGCCGAGTCTCCAAACGGGCTAAAACATGATTCCCGGACTTCCTGGCGAAGCGTACATGTGGTTCAAAGGACGTTATTTCTATGTGGGTGGGGATGGAAGGATGGACGTATAGACAGCCAGGTAAATGAGCACAAGGTTCCAGGGCCAGGTCTGCCAGAGTCTCCATCCCACAAGAATGGTGGTCCCAAGTGGCCCCCTACATCCTCAGCCCAGCCCCACGCTGCCCCAGCCCGTGCACTAAGACACCTGGTCTTCCCTTGCTACCCAGCCTACCAAGTTCATCTTTCAGTCTGTTGACTTCCCTCTGCAGCACATGACACTAGCCCAGCAGACAGGGGAGAAAGCAACATGGTCAGTATGCTCTTACCTCCTCCCTCTCCTTCTCTCCTCACGCGCCTCTGGCCCTTACTGCCAAGCACCCACCCCCACCCCATCCCAAAGCCCAGCGGCTAAACCGGAAAGGGGCCATCCGTCGGGAAGGAGGTGCTCTCTCTTCTGGAGGGTGGGCGGTGGGAGGGGAATGAGCTTAACCGGGACACAGACCCCGCTGCTTAGGCCTAGAGAGCATTACTTGAGGGCAGGATTGCACTGCAGGCGCTGGCTGCCTCCTTCTCTGTCGCAGATGATGAGCTGGCCCATGGTCGTCTGAAAGAGAGCACACAATGTGGCTCCCTGGGCCGAGGAGAGAGGCAGAAAGGGCTCTCTGGTCCAGCCTTCCCGGCGCCCTGGCTTAAGGCCAGCCCTGCCACCCTGCATCATTTCTCACAGAGGTGTCTGAGCAGGAGGAGCAGTTTGGGTGTAAGGTGAGGACTTGGAGTGATGGAGCCAGTTCCCCCTCCACAGCCCCCTCCATTTCAGGCAAATCTTCTCACCTGTCGGTGGGGGCACCCTGGCGTTGACATCTCCCTGGGCCATAGCCAGGAGCTGTGCGTTTCCTGGAACTCGAGAGCTCTTGGTCTTGGAGTCTCCCTTGCTCCCTACTCCATGACATGCAGACAGGCGAGACGGCCTTGACCTGCTTGCTGGAAACTAAAACAGAAATTTCTGGCTGGCTGCTTGTGTGTGTGCGTGTGTGCACGTGTGCGTGTGTGTGTGTGTGTCGGGGCTGGGGTGAAGCAGGGTATAGAGACGGGACGCAAAAGCCTAATCTCTGCAGCACTTTCTCCCGGGGTTGCCAAGGGCCACTTCAGGGCAAACAGCAGGAGTTAGGAACACCCAACCGTGAAGGGGTTGACCAGTGCCCCTTCCTTGTTAGGGCCCCCTCCCCCGCCCCTCTGCCAGGAAGAGGCCGACATCAAGTAAAGAGCTGAGAGGAGTGCCTGGCACCTCGGAAGCATTTGATCCTCTTAAAATGGCATCAGAGGACAGAGGAGCGGGGGTGGGGCGTGGGGGTGGGGAGATGTGTGTGTTGGGAACACGTGTGGGGCAGAGGAAACCACTGGAGGAGAGATGGGGAGGATGAGGGTGCCCTACTCACTTGGCCCTTTGGGGCCGGCTGGCTGAAGCGGTCGGCATCTTCTTGGGCCACCAGTTCAGGCTCCTTTGTCCTGCTGGCCGCAGGCTTCTTCCCGGTATGGTGCCTGGGCTGTTTGGGGCCCCAGGGGGCCACGGCATTTTTCTCAGCTCTCCCAAGTGCTGGAAGGCCGGAGACCAGAGGGTAAGCTCCCAGTCCTGGGGGAAATTCGGAGAGATAGGCCTGGGCTTTCCTCCCCAGGACAAGTCTGGGGACACTGCCAGCCACGCCCTTCTTTTCCGGGGAGGCCTTGCTCGGAGAGGCCTGGGCCACGCGGCTGGACTTGCCGCCTCTCTTCCCGCTGACCGACTCCACCGTCTTCTTTGCCGGCGGCTTGTGGGGAGCAGAGATTCTGAGCTCCCCAAGCAAGGGAACAGAGGCTGGGAGAGCACCTGGCTCCCCAAGGACGTCCCGCGTGGCGGCGTCTCCGGGGTCCTCCGGGCCGCTGGACTTGGCAGGGCTTCCTTCCCTGGGGACAACCTCCCCAGCCGGCAGCGGCAGCGGCAGCGGCAGCGGCAGCGGCGCCTTCGGGGTCTCCTCTGAGGGCAGGTTGGAAGGCTCTAGGTCTGACGGCCGCTGGCTGGCTGGAGCGGGCTCCTGGGGACCCACAGCGGGATTTCAGGCGCCTCTCCGGTTCCTGCCCTTCCCCAGACCCGCCCAGGGGCGAAGGAAGGAGGTGGCAATGCCCGGGGGGAGGGGGGCCCACCCAGGCCACTTGCCCTGCCCTCCTGAGGCAGCCCCGCCCAACCTCTCACCCAGGCCGCCCTCATCTCTGCCATCCCGAGGGGGCGTCCTCAGCCAGGCCGCTGTTGCCCGCGCCCCACGGCCTCCACGGAACACCTTGGCCCCTCGACGCCCGTCAGAAGCCCTCACCGGGGCCGCCGCTCTTCGCGACCACCGCCCTCCCGGTGACGCCGACCCAGAGCCCCGCACCCCGGCACTCACCTCATCCCCAGCCGAGGAGCTCATGTCTCCAGAAGCACAGCGAAGCTCGCGGGAGAGAGGGAGCGATCCTCACCCGCACAGTCGTCGAAGCCGGTCTGAGGCGCACGGCAGAGCGCACGGGCTCTGCGGCCCGCCAATCAGCGCTCGCCTCGTAGCCGCCCTTTGAGGGGGCGACCAGTGAGCGCGCAGCGAGCGAGCGCCGTGACCTGGGGGCCCGCCGTGGGAGGGGCCGAATTCCAGATTCCGAGCCGGCGGCCCCGCCCGCCAGCTGCCCGAGCTCGGGCCTGGGGCTCTGCAGTGCGGAAGGGGCTGCCCAGGCTGAGCGCCGTGGCTGTGACCCGTAGGAGGCATGCTGCGGCCCGCGAGAGGGAGCGGTCGATGCGCGGCTGACCACCCGGGCCGAAGAGCAGAGCGCGCTTCCCTGTCAGCAGGGGCGAGCACGGGGTTCTGTGCAGGCCGGCCTAGGAAGTACCTTCGGCTTGGCGAACTCCCTAGGCCGTGGAGGCGGGAAAGGCACCCCGTGCTACAAGTCAACGAGTGCTGGTGGCCACTACAGCTCTGCCTGCTGGCCGGACTGGAACTGCGGATCCAGGTCTGCACCACGCCCCAGCGAACTCAGAGGAGAGGGAATTCCTGTGCTCACCATCAGCGATCTGCAGATGCAAGCCAAAACCTCGAGCCACTTGCAGAAGTGGCTCACGGCAGAGCCTTCCACAGTGTTCATGCCACTGGCATGAAAACACACATCTGCTTTGATGCAAACAAAACCTGGGAGATTCATGCCAATATAAGGGGTGTCTTCCAGAACTTCCTGGAAAGTGTGTGATATGGAAAACTGTGTGGATTTCAAAAGGGTCCCCCCCCCAAAAAAAAAGCTTATCTTTTAATTTTGCTCTCTACAAAAACGATTTATCTATGTATTTGAATGGCAGAGAGTTACAGAGATGGAGAAAGAGAGAGAGGAACTCGACTGCACCAGGCGCTCTTGTTTGATGGCTAGTGTCCAGGGTGGAGTTCCTGATCCTGGGCTTCAGTGTAGCCCCGCCTGGGCTGTTGCAGGCATTTGGAAGTGAACCAGGGGTTAGAAGATAGCTCCTTGTCATATGGATAGGATGAAGTGTCAAAGAGACCATATAAATAGCATCACGTGCCTGGTAATAATAATAGACAGAATTAAAAAGGAGGGAATGTCCAACATGGGAAGCAGTTCACACAGCAGACTCATAGAATGACAATCGCTTTAAGTAACACTCTGACCTCAGAATCGGCCCTTAAGGCATTCTGGTCTGGGTGGAAATCCCAGGGGAGCATTTCAGGCAAGGTAAGGAAAGACACTGTGGCAAAAAACGTTCTACATGAAGGACCTCCGTGGGTGAGACTTTAGTTAGTGGAAAGTGTAGGCAGCCTTTGGACAAATCAAGGCCAGTCTTGGCTTGTGGATTTCTTGGGATAAGAAAGTCACATACTCCCATCCTGAAGGAGGATGATAATCAAGAACGCTCTGTTAAAATTATCTGTGCCACCGGAGGCCCCGATAAGTTGCTTACGTATGTTGTTATCTTTTGTGCTTCTTTGTGCTTCTTTGTGCTGGTTATGTATAAATACCACCGAGACATTGGAATAAATGAGCCTTGATCAGCCTTGTTGTCTTGGCTCCATTCTCTGCGATCGCTTGCCTCTCTTTTAGGTCCCTCTCCCTCCCTCGGGTTCCGTTCGACTGGTGCGGCTGACCCGCACAGAAAGAAGCGGCCACCAAAGAAGGATGTACTTTGCTCTGAAGGGAGGAGAGAACTTCCACTTCAATTATGGCCTTATCCAAATACTGATGGAGTCTGTGGTCACAAAAGGCTTCCATAGCCTTGGCAGCTCATTGCAAGAGCCTTGGGTGATTGCTAACAATTAAATCAGAGTGTTATTGTTAAATTAACAACAAGAGTCACTGTGCACTTACTCCCCATGTAGGACCTCTGTCCTTAATGAGTTGTACCATGAGAATTAACTGCAAAACTTGTTCTCAAGCAGTATTTTCTACATTGTGTGAGTGTGTGAGTGTGTGAGTGTGTGTGTGTGTGTGTGTGTGCAAACTGTTGAAATCTTTACTTAGTATAGAGTTGCTCTTTTGTACATAAAGATTTTTATAGAAAACTTGTATTTAGTAACTATAAATTTTGAAAGTACAACTTTTGGATTACAGCAGTTCCTCCCCCCATAACCACCCTCCCACCCGCAAACCATCCCATCTCCTACTCCCTCTCCCACCCCATTCTTAAGATTCATCTTCAATTAACTTTTTTTTTTTGACAGGCAGAGTGGATAGTGAGAGAGAGAGAGAGAGAGAGAGAGAAAGGTCTTCCTTTTGCTGTTGTTCACCCTCCAATGGCCGCCACGGCTGGCGCACTGCGGCCGGCGCACTGCCCTGATCCGAAGGCAGGAGCCAGGTGCTTCTCCTGGTCTCCCATGGGGTACAGGGCCCAAGCACTTGGGCCATCCTCCACTGCCTTCCCGGGCCACAGCAGAGAGCTGGCCTGGAAGAGGGGCAACCGGGAAAGAATCCAGCACCCCGACCGGGACTAGAACCCGGTGTGCCGGCGCCGCAAGGCGGAGGATTAGCCTATTGAGCTGCGGCGCCGGCCTTCAATTAACTTTAAACACATAAAGATAATTAACTTTATATACCTAAGGATAACTAAAGATGAATCTTAATGAAGAATGGAATGGGCGAGGGAGTAGGTGGTAGGACGGGAATGGGGGTGGGAGGGTAGGTATGGGGAGGAACCACTATATTCCTAAAGTCGTAGCTATGAAAATTGTATTCGTTAAATATAAACTTTAAAATAAAAAAGCAGATAGCTCTTTCTCCTTCCCTCTCTCCCTTCATCCCTCCCTCCCTCCCCCCTCCCTCTCTGTCACTCTGCCTTTCAAATGAAGAAAAATAAACAAACAGTGTAGCAGCACAAGGTTATGAGGAAACTGGTGTCTGGCACAGTGCTGGTGGGCATGTAAATTGGGACAGCCACTTGGCAGGGTTAGGTGGCGGGACCTGTGGATAGCAAGCCGTTTGCTTCCTTAAGCTCTTGTCCTTCTTCTGAACACTGCAAATATTATCCATCGCATATGAACTGACTCCCGAGGCCTGTAGAAAGCAAACTGCAAAACAAGGTATGGAAGAGGCTACCGTTTGTAAATTGAACCCTGTGTCTGAACTGTGTACTGTTATTGGTGTCTCTGGATGAGGAAAAAGGTACAGAGGGGGTCAGCAACTTGCCCAGAGACCTGGAGCTTGTCAGTGTCTGCAGCAGGACTGAAACAAGGTGGCCTGGGCTCAGGGCTCAGGGTCAGGGCCCAGGGCCCAGGGCCTTGCTTTGTTTGCTGTGTTTGTTGGATTGTTTGCCTGCAGCACGCATTTCTCCTGACAGGAGGGCTGCTGGGGCCTCATGTTCTTACTTAACAGTAGCAAACCAAACTTTGTGGTCACGTCTCAAAGAATTGAGATTGGTGTACAGAAACCTTACATAACTTAAGAGGATGAATGCATTTACAGGTGTACCTGAAAGCCGTTTCCAACTCAAGGCAGGTGCAACCTGGCAGGAAAAGTGAGTAGGAAAGGACACTGGGTCCCAAGGCTGGGACACCCGCCCCTCTCCTCTGTCAAGACCAGCGAGACAGAAAGAATAGCTGGTTCAGCAACTCTTGCCAGCCTCTGAGGAATCCTGGACTGTCAGCTCTGCCGCATTAATACCCTGCACAGATCTGCAGACTGTGGTCAGGCAGACACACCAAGGCGCACCTGGACTTCTCACCTCAGCCACGTAGTGACCGAGCCACACAGCCTAAGGTTTACATCAAACGTGTGTACAGGGCATTGAACATACACCAAGGGAACAGTGAGTGAACTTGAATACAAAGTAAAAAAAAAAATCAGCAACAAGTTCTACAATCCAGTGTTGATATCAGATACAAGCTTCAAGGACACCTTTCTTTTCAAAGGCTTATTCCAGCTTCACTTTTGCCAGGGAAAATGTATCCTTCTGGATCAGCTCATGCTGCAAATGCTACCCACCTGCTCACAGTCTTTTTAGAAGCATTTGTGTTGGACGATGGAGGGGCCCTGCTCATCATACTCCCGCTCAGTGATCCACATCTGCTGGAAGGTGGACAAGGAGGCCAGGACGGAACCGCCCATCCACACGGAGTACTTTCCGCTCAGGGGGTTCGATGATCTGCGAGGACAGGGAGGGAGCGGCTCTAGTCAATGCTGCCTTCATGGCAATGCCCCCACCCACTGCGCCATGCTCTGGTGACAGGCCACCCACACACCTTGACCTTCATGGTGCTGGGTGCCGGGGCAGTGATCTCCATCTGCATCCTGTTGGCGATGCCTGCGTCCTTGGTGGGGCCACCAGACAACACAGCGTTGCTGTACAGGTCCTTGGGGGATATCGATATCACATTTTGTGATGGACTTGAAGGTGGTCTTGTGGTTGCCGCGGGACTCCATGCCCAGGAAAGAGGGCTGGAAGAGCGCCCTGGGAAAGCAGAATCCTTGGGCATTGATGGGGATCACGTGGCTGGCCAACGGGCAGCTCGCTCTTCTCACGGGGGCAGGAGGAGGACGTGGCTGCAGCCATCTCCCACTCCGTGTCCAGGGCGACGTAGCACAGTTTCTCCTTGAGGTCGGGCACGATTTCCCACTGGGCCTTGGTGGTGAAGCTGTAGCCACATTCTGTGAAGATTCATGAGGTAGTCAGTCAGGTCCTGGCCAGCCAGGGGAGGGCGTACCCCATGTGGATGGGCACCATGTGGACAACTCTGTCGTCAGAGTCCATGATGATGACAGGGCCTTGCTTTGCACAGAAAGAATTCAAACTGTAAATGTCCATTCCCTCTATGGACAGCAGATGCACTCCCAGGTCTCTCTCCTGAGGAAACACTGGTGCATGGTGTCTGTAAGGACTCACGCCCTGGGGTGTTAATGGTAGGAAACAACAGGAAATATCTATGTTTCCAACAGTAAGGGAATGGGCAAATGCCACACAGACTATTCCTCCAGCAAATTACAATGCAGCAGCGAAAAGGAATGGATGAGGCTGTGTTAACCCAAATTTCAAGGGCATTGCAATGAGCGTAGAAAGCAAACTGCAAAGCAAGATATAGGATAGGCT